ACTTCTTTTCTCGTAATAATGACTTATTTTCTCATAATAATGACTTATTTTCTCGTAATAATGAGAAACTTTCTCGTAATAATGACTTCTTTTCTCATAATAATGACTTCTTTTCTCGTAATGACTTATTTTCTCGTAAAAATGACTTCTTTTCTCATAATAATGACTTCTTTTCTCATAATAATGACTTATTTTCTCATAATAATGAGAAACTTTCTCGTAATAATGACTTATTTTCTCGTAATAATGAGAAACTTTCTCGTAATAATGACTTCTTTTCTCGTAATAATGACTTATTTTCTCATAATAATGACTTATTTTCTCGTAATAATGAGAAACTTTCTCGTAATAATGACTTCTTTTCTCGTAATAATGACTTATTTTCTCATAATAATGACTTATTTTCTCGTAATAATGAGAAACTTTCTCGTAATAATGACTTCTTTTCTCGTAATAATGACTTATTTTCTCATAATAATGACTTATTTTCTCGTAATAATGAGAAACTTTCTCGTAATAATGACTTCTTTTCTCGTAATAATGACTTATTTTCTCATAATAATGACTTATTTTCTCGTAATAATGAGAAACTTTCTCGTAATAATGACTTCTTTTCTCGTAATAATGACTTATTTTCTCATAATAATGACTTATTTTCTCGTAATAATGAGAAACTTTCTCGTAATAATGACTTCTTTTCTCGTAATAATGACTTATTTTCTCATAATAATGACTTATTTTCTCGTAATAATGAGAAACTTTCTCGTAATAATGACTTCTTTTCTCGTAATAATGACTTATTTTCTCATAATAATGACTTATTTTCTCGTAATAATGAGAAACTTTCTCGTAATAATGACTTCTTTTCTCGTAATAATGACTTATTTTCTCATAATAATGACTTATTTTCTCGTAATAATGAGAAACTTTCTCGTAATAATGACTTCTTTTCTCGTAATAATGACTTATTTTCTCATAATAATGACTTATTTTCTCGTAATAATGAGAAACTTTCTCGTAATAATGACTTCTTTTCTCGTAATAATGACTTATTTTCTCATAATAATGACTTATTTTCTCGTAATAATGAGAAACTTTCTCGTAATAATGACTTCTTTTCTCGTAATAATGACTTATTTTCTCATAATAATGACTTATTTTCTCGTAATAATGAGAAACTTTCTCGTAATAATGACTTCTTTTCTCGTAATAATGACTTATTTTCTCATAATAATGACTTATTTTCTCGTAATAATGAGAAACTTTCTCGTAATAATGACTTCTTTTCTCGTAATAATGACTTATTTTCTCATAATAATGACTTATTTTCTCGTAATAATGAGAAACTTTCTCGTAATAATGACTTCTTTTCTCGTAATAATGACTTATTTTCTCATAATAATGACTTATTTTCTCGTAATAATGAGAAACTTTCTCGTAATAATGACTTCTTTTCTCGTAATAATGACTTATTTTCTCATAATAATGACTTATTTTCTCGTAATAATGAGAAACTTTCTCGTAATAATGACTTCTTTTCTCGTAATAATGACTTATTTTCTCATAATAATGACTTATTTTCTCGTAATAATGAGAAACTTTCTCGTAATAATGACTTCTTTTCTCGTAATAATGACTTATTTTCTCATAATAATGACTTATTTTCTCGTAATAATGAGAAACTTTCTCGTAATAATGACTTCTTTTCTCGTAATAATGACTTATTTTCTCATAATAATGACTTATTTTCTCGTAATAATGAGAAACTTTCTCGTAATAATGACTTCTTTTCTCGTAATAATGACTTATTTTCTCATAATAATGACTTATTTTCTCGTAATAATGAGAAACTTTCTCGTAATAATGACTTCTTTTCTCGTAATAATGACTTATTTTCTCATAATAATGACTTATTTTCTCGTAATAATGAGAAACTTTCTCGTAATAATGACTTCTTTTCTCGTAATAATGACTTATTTTCTCATAATAATGACTTATTTTCTCGTAATAATGAGAAACTTTCTCGTAATAATGACTTCTTTTCTCGTAATAATGACTTATTTTCTCATAATAATGACTTATTTTCTCGTAATAATGAGAAACTTTCTCGTAATAATGACTTCTTTTCTCGTAATAATGACTTATTTTCTCATAATAATGACTTATTTTCTCGTAATAATGAGAAACTTTCTCGTAATAATGACTTCTTTTCTCGTAATAATGACTTATTTTCTCATAATAATGACTTATTTTCTCGTAATAATGAGAAACTTTCTCGTAATAATGACTTCTTTTCTCGTAATAATGACTTATTTTCTCATAATAATGACTTATTTTCTCGTAATAATGAGAAACTTTCTCGTAATAATGACTTCTTTTCTCGTAATAATGACTTATTTTCTCATAATAATGACTTATTTTCTCGTAATAATGAGAAACTTTCTCGTAATAATGACTTCTTTTCTCGTAATAATGACTTATTTTCTCATAATAATGACTTATTTTCTCGTAATAATGAGAAACTTTCTCGTAATAATGACTTCTTTTCTCGTAATAATGACTTATTTTCTCATAATAATGACTTATTTTCTCGTAATAATGAGAAACTTTCTCGTAATAATGACTTCTTTTCTCGTAATAATGACTTATTTTCTCATAATAATGACTTATTTTCTCGTAATAATGAGAAACTTTCTCGTAATAATGACTTCTTTTCTCGTAATAATGACTTATTTTCTCATAATAATGACTTATTTTCTCGTAATAATGAGAAACTTTCTCGTAATAATGACTTCTTTTCTCGTAAAAATGACTTATTTTCTCGTAAAAAGGACTTAGTTTCTCGTGATAATGAGAAACTTTCTCGAAATAATGACTTATTTTCTCGAAATAA